CTGTGAGTGCAATAGTATCTATCATGTAGTTTGCAATCTCTGGTTTAGGGAGCCCAAGACTGGATCACCCCCCGATTCTGTCATAGACACGTTTGTCCTCCCTCAACCTCCTAACAATACGGCTGGAGGGTTGTGCAAGGACAAACCGTGCCTGAGATCCTAAGCCTGCCACTGGCTCCTTCTGATCGGTCCCATTGCACAGTGATGCCCAATGAAGGAAAAACACAGACCCAGGAGTCTAGAGTGTGGGTTCTAGTCTCTCTGCTTCCGTCAACTCAGCCACATCTCCTAGTGAGGCCAGGGCTAGGCAACCCCTCTATCCTCAGCCTTTTCTCTGTGCCTGATCTGAACAATAAGAAGTCATCCTGAGACATGAAGGATCTTCCACCATCGAGCTGTAATGATGTCAGTGAATTTCCGGAACTGGCGAGCGATGGAAATGGGAGTGGGATGGTTGGAACATCACAGGCTGGTTACCTACAGACCCATTATCTTCATACAACTTGGCTGTTCCAGTGACTTGTCAGGCAGCCAGCTCACGTGGAGCTGAGAGCTTGGGCCACCATGTGTCCCTGACATCTCTGGTCTGGTGTCTTTGACAACTTATCTACTGAACTTCTGACTTGCTACATTTACACAGCAGTCTATGTCTGAAAATATTTTCTCATCTTCTGCAGCACTATTGAAAATGCTTAATTGCATATTGACATATTTTATTAACAAGGTTTTCACATTTTTCTTTCATTTGTCCCTACTCCTCTATTTTTTTTTTCCAATGGAGTTAAACCTTTTTTTTGTTTTGTTTTTGGAACCACGATGTTATGTTGGGCAGGGAGGTGCCTGGAATTAACTGGGGCATGCCGGGCTGTTCTCAGCCTAGCTGGCAGGGACCAGATACCCACAGCTCAAAGCATTGTCACACTGACTCTCGACCACCCAGAGTCAGGGCATCTGCAATTGCAGAATACGCTCGACTTACTTGGAGCGAACCTAGTGTGTAGATCGCCAAATGTTCAGAGCAGGTAGAAGTGAATGGTAATAATTTTGGCAAACAGAAGGGGGTCAGACTCACAGAAGCTGTAAGACCCTTATATGGCACATAGTTGAGGACATATTTTTTAGGGGGACAGGTGTCTGGAGAATAGAGTCCCCAAACTGTTGAGTGCCAATCGGCTCTGTGATCACAATGGATGTCTGTTGACAAGCAGGACTGTTTTCTTTCCCCTGCAAGTTTGGTTTACCCTTCACTTTGAGGGGCCCCATTAGTTGGGGAGGGAGAATGAAAAGGTAAGTTTGTGGGAGGTGACGAGAGGTGTTCATAGCTGCCCAGCCTGGCTCTTGGTGGCACTCATGCCGTCTTGCAGCACACGCTGGCCCTGCTGCAGGGGAGCGCGCCATCATGAGCTATGGCAACATGGTGCAGTGTTCAATCAACTCTTTGATTGAACCATTTATTAATGAAGCAGTTACTTGGCCTCTTTGAGGTGGGCTACTCCTGTAAGGGAGGGGACAGCAGCAGTGACATCATGGAGAGGCTGAGCGGATTAGAGAGATACTTCCATGGTAAAAGCGCATGGTAAAAGCATTGGTTGCCATGCGAGGCGAGAGGAATCCTGAACCACGATCACATCCATATCCTCCCTCTGGGATGGCATGCAAGCCTTGGGATGTTTCACCCACACTCTCTGCTTTCTCCTTTTTTTTTCTTTCTTTCTTTTTTGGTAGTTTGAACTAAGGACCTCCTGCTCACTAGGCAAGCACACTACCCCTTGAACTATGCCCCAGTCCTTTTTGCTTTATCCCCCTTTTTTGATAGAGCCTCAAGCTAGCCTCAGACTGCAATCCTCCTACCTCTGCCTCCTGAGTAGCTGGGATCACAGCGAACACCACCACACAGGGCTTATTTTTGAGATGGGCTTTTGCTAACTTCTATTGGGGGTGGCCTTGAACTGTCATCTCCTATTTCTGTCTCCTAAGCTATTGTTTGTTCTCACTCCCTTTTCTGGTTGCCCGGAAAGGATGGTAGCTCCTTTCCTTGTGGCTCTACACTCTGTGCTGAATATTCCTCATTGGGCATGGCCAACAACGTGGGTGAGGTGGGCAGCTTAACTGTCTTTCCCAACCTGGCACCATCCACTATCCTCTTCTCCTTCCTGACAGCAGTCCCCTCCTGGACTCCCCTTCAATGCAACCAGTGAAACTGACCTTAGCCTCCACAGAAAGGAACTTTATGGTATTTCCAGACAAAGGAAGGATGCCACGATAACTGGGTTATCATGTGTGAAATATCTCCACATATATGTAACACCCACAAACTCCTTCAGCTGATTCTGAGAACTTTCCGTGAGATCACCATGTGTCAGTCCTGGTTTTCTACTCCACGCTGCTTGGTGCCACAGAGCAAAGCCACGGGAACTATTACCGTTTATCTTTTTAACTTGCAAACTTTTAAACTTCAAATATTTAAAGATAACTTTGCTGGAAATATTTTGAATCTCCCCTTTCTCTCTCTTCTCTCTTTCTCCCTCTGAAAAATATATCAGCTTATAATGCCTGCTGCCTTCACCTCCTTGCTAGATACTATTTCATTGCCAAGAGTCTTTATGGCTCTAAATTGTGATTACAGAGAAGTGTTATGAAATGTCAATGTGTAGATGATGTTTGGAAGGTCTGGGCTGGGGAGGAAAACTCTTTTAAATGGAGATGTCATCTCCACCCAATTTCAGAATGGCTCACCATTAAGATGGATGGTTGCAAAGCCATGTGCCTCTGCTGGAAATTAAAAACCCGTGGAATAGCTGATGATGATTAATTTTAAGTACTTAGCCATGTGGGGCCAAATGAGAGCATCTTTAAAATAAAACTATTGATCTGGCTTTGTTTGGAATTGAGAAGGTAAACTAATCAGGTTCTTCAGGCTTTTTACACAATGGGGAATAAGAACTTTTATTACTATTACTATTTTATTATTTTGGTCATGAGTTTCTAAGCTTCAACTTGGAGACACCTAGTGTATCTGGATGTCAATTTTTTTTTTTCTAGCAAACATCTGGGTAGAAGTTTGGCAGGGGTAAGTGAGGGCAGGGTGGAGAGAACAAGAAGCAGAAGGGACAACATTTAGGTGCCTTTCCTATGTGGTACATGGGCAGTCTCTTTTTGAAGGTGAGCAAGAAGATCAGAGAGGTTATAACACTTGAGAAGCCCTACCACCTCAGAGTTCCCCACCCCAGTGTGACTATGGTCAAAGCTCTTTCCTTTGCCCCAGACTGCTGCCCAGGAGTAGCAGGAGAGGTGAGACACCACCCCTCTCAGCACTAACGGGCTGACAGGTTGTCACAGCTGTTTCCTGCAGCTGTGGCTCCCATTTCCTAGTCTCTTCCCTATGAATTTTCTCATCGTTCTCTTGCTCTCTGGCAAGAGAGAAAAAGGTGATATGCTCCTAGCAGCCCTTTCTACAAAGGCTTTTTCACAGGCAGAGAAAATTGTGTCTCCCCTTCTCAGCCCCCGCCTCCTGGTAAGAGACGTCCCAGGCTTCTAAATTTGGACTGATGGGCTCTCCCCCGCTGATATGCATTGGTTGCCAGTTCCCGGGTCAGAGTTTGGGTGAGGAGAGACCATCCATCTTAGGAATGACAACCTGACCTCCCCTTGTGTGGGTCCTGCATTTTTGTATGGGGAATTCTCAGCTTTCTTTGGATTTTAAGCATCAGCACCCCCTTTTATTTCCCGTGATCCCTCTTGTAATCACCTTCTCCTCCAACAAGGTGAGGGGCTCCTTCCTATCCACTGCTGGGGTCTTCGGGGACAGGTGCAAAGGAACACTCTTCTCTTTATGTACAAAGGGACATTTGAATATATTCATTCATTTACTTATTTGGCATTTGTTCACTTGGCTGGAATCAGACACAGGAAACCTGTGACTATGTAATTTTTTTTTCCCCAAAGGATGCTGCACTAATCCTAGTCTCTTACCATTCAGAGGCTAGAACTGCACCTTTGTAACTGTTTTGGTAGAGTGTGGAAAGGGGAAGTCACTCTCAGGGGGGAGCAACCAGCCCTTCATTTTACAATGAAAAAAACTAAGGCTCTGAGAGCCAGAGAGACTTGCCCAAGGTCACATGGCTAATTAGTGACAGAACTAGGACTGAATCACCGGTCCCTGTCACAAGTTCTACGATGCTTTAGTAATTCCCCTCCAGACTTCCCCAAATCAAGGACACCTAGAAGAGTAGGTGTTTGTGGGGGACAATCAGAAGCCTTTCTTACACCGCTAACTTTAGTTTGAATGACCCCAAGATGACTCCTCACCGATTCCTGCCTCCCAGAATTTAGGGTTCCTGAGACCATTTGAACATCTTGACACAGAAAGATAGTTGCACATTATTTTCCTAGGATGGGCTTTCATGGAGGGGGCATCTCCTGTCATCTTTTTTGCCCCTGCCACTTAAGGTTTTGGCTTAAAGTTTGAATTTAAACCTGAGATGAGGTCCCAGGAGCAAGGGAGACTGCTGGACTTTATCAGGCTGTCTGGCACTCCCTTGTCCTGTGCCAAGGTCCCTTTCTGATTCTGGGTAATTCCAACAGATTCCTGGTGCTCAGTCCTCTGTCACTGGCTGCAGACCTGTATCCTGTCTCCTCCATGCCCACACTCAGACTCTCCCTGAACGCCCTGGCAGGTGTTGGGGGGCTGCTCCAGCCTGTTTGTCTCTGCCAGCTGCAAATACTGCGGGAGGGAGCGAGCACCAGGGGAGAAAGGACTCGGGTGGAGACTTAATTAGCAGGAGCCCCAGTTTGTGGGAGGTGAGAAATCACACTTTGCTGTCTGCAAACACTTTGGCCAAGGTGAGCCGGAGGGATCTCCTGGTGCCCGATTTGAAGAGCACTGCAGCAGACGAGCAGGCAATGCATCCACAGGGACCCGGGACAACTCCCCCTTCTCCTCCCGACACGGCACACAACACACGCACGCACACCCCAGCAGTGATCGCAAAAGCACTCACAGAATCTCCAGATCGCGCAGCGCTCGGAAGGCTCCATCTTCGATGCAGCTGATGTGGTTGTTGTCCAGTTGCCTGTGGAAAGCAAGGGAGAGCGTGAAGGCTGAGCGGGGACGGCACTGAGGGCCAGCCGGCGGCAGGGCCACCAAGCAAGTGAGCGAGTGAGAGCGCCTGTCCCTCCACCCCCTTGCCCGCTCTGCTTGTCCCCGCCAGGAGCTCCTGCAGAGCCAGCCTGTCTGCCACGCTGCTCTTCTCTCCTCTCTGTCTGAGAGAGCTACACAGGCGAGCGCACCAAAGGCTGGCAGGTCTCAGTAAATATTAATTGCGCATTTTTTTTTTTTAGGCAGAAGGGAGTAATTTCATTACATTAGGGCATCCAATCCATTACGAGCTCTTACCGTCATGTCCCTGAAACAATTTCATTAAGCTAAAGGCCTGTAAATCATCGGAGGTCACTGGTCTGCCCTGTGCGACCTCCCAGAATGCTTTCTTCCCCCTCTCCCTCGTCTCCCTTTTACTGGAAGTTGCGTCTTTCTGCTCTGACACAGTGCTAAATCTCAAGGCTTTATCTGCCCGAGAGTGGCGAGGGTGCATGGGGGAATATACCAATTCCAAATTAGACTCAACTAATCTAATTTTATAGTCTTTTTATTATTCTAAGCACCAAATGCCTGTGGTGGTCTGATGTCTCCCTGCTCTGTTATGGGGCCCATCTGGTAGGTCATTCTATTCAAGCATTTTCTGACTAAAATACAGATTCCCTCAAACTGCACCAGCCATCACCAACATTAAGGAAATTCACTGATGGAAACATTCAGGATGGGGGAGAAAAAGGAATGTCATTATTGCCTTAAAGATGTACCACTTACATTTACATTGGGGAGAATTAAAGGCACCTATTTCAGGATTCCTCCTTTATTTCTCTTCCTATGAAAGTAATGTCTTTTTAAAAAGATGCCTGACTAATATACTTTCCAGTTGGGGACTGATCGATACCATTTCTCTAAATCAAAATACGCATATCTGATGAGTAACTTGGGATGTTTACCATGACCCCATTCAACTTAAGTATAGTATGTATCATGTGCTTAATCCCTAAAAAAATAAACAAAGAAAGATGCTCTACAGAAAATGATTACTGACATCGGCGATGGTGTTCTTTGCAGAGCACACCTTGGTCTTTGGGTGGAGGGGCTAAAAGAAAGGATGGCTGTACTGAAAAACTCCTTTATAAACACTCATATTTTTCTAAAAATGAATCTCTCTCAGGGGGAAGGATTTCCCATGGCTGGAATTTTCATTTGTAACTTGCATTAATCTTTCTGGAGAAAACTCTGCAAAAGATATGTCAAAGCAACATTTGGTAACACAGAGTTTTTTGTTTTGTTTTGATTTGTTTTATAAATCAAAGGAAAACAATTGAAAAAGTACATAGATGTAGGGTTGTTTAAATGCACCTCATCTGAAACACATACAGTACTGTCGTGTGTCACAACACATGGGTTCTGCCACGATATTATAAGGAAATGCACTGTCCAGGTAGAAGGTCCTGATAGGAGATGGGTTGTAAGCAGCTGCACCCTTATGGTGACAAGTTCTGGCTGTTGCCCGTGCACGCAGAACCTCACTGGGTCCTCCGTGCCGCATGTTCTTCCCGGCGCGGCGCCTTCTTAACACGACTTTACGGAGCATCCTTCCTGTGGACCAGCACTGGGGCTGCCAACTCCCAGCAAAGGTTCTCTTAACGCAGCCTAGTACCGCGGCCCAGCCTCAAGACTATTATCATCATTTTAAAGGCGAAATCAGCAACAATGCCTGACGCCAAGGTCACCAAACCTTACCAAGCAGAAATGCAGTGGACTTGGCTTTAGGCTCCAAGACACTGTTCCACGAACATGCTGAATGCGGCAAAAAATGGCTCCATCACCTAGTGAAAGAGTGTCTAACTCGTCAAGTTCAAGTTGGGGTGTCTTGGTGGGGAGATGGTGCTTTGTGGGGTGCCTGCTTTTGCACACATTTCACAGAGCTCTTGGCTGTTAGGACATTACTATCTGCTGGATCTTGCAACATTTTCCATTCTTTTCATTTTGAGAGCATCAGAAACCAGACAGTATGCTAAATATACAGAATTTTTCAGGTAAAAAAATACAGTCTCTACAGGGGAAAGAGAAAGTCACGATAACAGAAGATAAGGTGGTGGAAATAGAATGAAAAGTGAGAAGGAGGAATCGTTGGGCAAAAGATTCTTTCAAAACCCACTACTCCGTGTCCCATCAGGGCCTTGCCATCCAGGCCACTGAGACCGTGCAGCCAAGAAAGAGTCTAAGAGAGGACCCCGATCATTGTAAGGCAAAACCAGAGGTGTCTCATCCATTCTTAATTACGTGATGTTTAAGCATTTTCAGTGGGTGGCACAAGTTGACGACTCATTGTTTATTCGTAATGGGGAAAGCTGAGCTGTAATGTAAGCAAGCACCCCTGTGGGTGTATTTTTGTAGCTTATTTTAACACATATGAAATGTATCAAAATTTAAAATATTTATGCCGGAGTGTGCTTTCCTAGCAGACATTTATTATAACTGAGATTGTCTCTTTTCATCCTAACCACAGACAAACCAAACAGGAAATGTATCCCAGCCTCACTAGCACAGGGTATCCTCGAGACAGCCTGGTTGTTATGGGGTGTACAGGAGTGCACTGCTTACGGGGCTTGTGGAAACCTCAACAGCTCCTCCACTTCCCAGCTATTGTTTCGAACACCAGTGCATTCATAAAGAAGTCTATTTCATAGTCCACAACCATTCCTGATTGTTTGCGCAAAAGCACTAGGTCCCTAAAACAAAGCCAAAAGGGGCTTAGTTTAGACGGGGTTTTTTCTTTCCAAAATGAGAGCTCAGAGACATAAAAGTTAGTTCTGAAGTACAGGTGAGAGGAAGAGAAGTAGACATGAGCCCAGGGCTTCTTTGAGGGTGCTGGAAGGAGTGCTGGGCAACACAGAGAGCTTTCTGGAGCGAAACCTGAAGACCTGATAGCATTTTGCTTCTGGGGGTTGATGAGACCAGAAGTCACTGATGTTGATTCTACCTCTCGGGTCAGGTCCATATTGTACCTTTGAAAGGGTTCATTCAAAGACCCCCTTAAAAACAAACCAAAAAGCCCACTGTATTCTCCACCAAGCACAGCATCACTCAGGAGGCATGGGTCTAGGAGAACTTTGGGGATATGAGCAGAAAGAGCAATGCAGTTCACGGTTGCCTGGTAGCTCTCCTTTTGTTTCTCATTGGCAATCAGCAGTGTCTTTCTTCCTGCTGAGCTCTTTCTCTTGACTGCACCAAATCACTGACTCTGGTGCCCAGCACAGTGCCAGGTAGCTCACAGATGGCCAGTGATGGCTGCAGAATGAGTCCTTCTATTGGAAGTGTTTGGGTTGAGACTGACCCGTACAGAAGAAAGTGCTAAGCCATGGCCAATAGCCATGGCTACAGCCCTGTGCCCCTTCCAATGACCATGAAGAATGACAGAGCATTCGGTCGCAGCACCTTCTGGGGTCCCAGGCTTTCTGAGACACAGACCTCCACCAGGGAGCCCCAAGAAGGTTCTAGAATGAAATGAGATTTCTATGGGCCCAGGGTGAAAGGGAGGACCAGGCAGGCAGTGGGTGGAGAAGGGAAAGCAGGGGTTTTTTTGGAGGCAACTTTTATCGTTCTTTACTTTACACAGAATCCTCAACTTGATTTCACCTCCCTTGTCTCCAAGTAAACTGACAAGTCCCAAAATGTTTCATGATATTAAATTAAGCTCTCTAATTTTCCAGTGAAGCTGGGATTTCAGCAACAATACGAGTGCTAAAATGATACCAGAGTCCATTTAGAAAGGAATCCTCAGACAAGACTAACTGCAGACTCCCTGAGAGCAGCATTTTCACTACTGAGCTCTTTTATTCTGAGAAAGTAAACAAATCAGAAGGGAAAGCCAGCATGAGGGGGACACGGCACCTTCGTGAGAATTCCTGAGCATAATACACTCTGATTATCAGCTCATCTCTTTTGATTAGAATTTAAAATTTCATAACTGAAGCAAGATAGAAATGTTTTTGAGGTCCAAAAATGTAAATCCTTTAAAAAGGCTACGGACCCTATTACAATATATAAAAGCAATCCATCTCCTAAACAAACAAACAAAAAAGGTAATAAATAAACAAGGAGAGAAAAAAGAAAGGAAAAGAAGAAAATTTCAGGATTTCAATGATGAGAGAAATACCTGGGAAACAGATCTGCCCAGAAGCAGGCTTCAGATAGCTGGGAGAAAAGTAGGAGTGCCCACTACTTACCTACACACCAGGTCTGCACACAGGGCACATTCATCCAGTGCTTCCTGTGTCATCCAGATGTCCGGGGCCCTACATCTTGTCAGATGGATGGGGACCCCAAATCCAGCTGCAGCATTTTGCTTTGGGATCACAGCAAGTCTGTGCAGCAAGCCCTCCTTGTGCAAAACAGGGAAATGGTAGAGGCTCAGGTCCTCTGGAGTTAAACTATTTGCTAATTTCTGAGCAGAACTATCTGCAAAAAAAGTGGGCAATCAACAGGGAATTCTCTATGAAATTCATCAGGGAAGCCTGAAGAGAAAGCCAGGGCAGGTCTGCGGTCATGGCTCCAATAATGAATTAGTCCATTGGTACTGGAATTCCTACTGCACGAGGTGCTCAGGATAGAGACATGAGTGGAAGGCATCCTTTGAAAACATGGCAGATGGCTACCTAGTCTGTATTTTGTACGTGACACTCATCTTTACAGTGTAAGAGAATTTTAGACAGTAAACAAATTTGAATTTGTCTTCAATAAAATATAAGGTCTCTCTGTCTCTGTCTCTCTCTCACACACACACATACACACACACACACACACACACACTTCTTTCCAGACCAAGGAGAATTAGAAATATAAAGAGAAAAGCTGGGAACTCCTTGCTTTCATAAAACAAGGTAGGGGAGAGAACATGAGCCAGCCCTGACACACTCTCTCTTCTTTCCCCTTTATCTCCTTCTCCTATAAGCAGAAAACAAGAAACCTAGT